AAATAAACTTTTTCCCTTTGGTTACCATTGAGACATGACTGTTATATGTATGTATCATTGTTTCGCGACCCAAATATTTCCAAGGATGCAGTGAGGCTGAGGTTTAGCATTCAAATCAGAAAACTGTAGGTTTCAGTTTTATATAATATTAAGATAACTCATTGATGATACATGAATAATGGATTACAAATTAAAAGTTCTAAATTTATAATATAATATGATAATACATTATTTAGACACATATATAATCGTAGAGGATGACAAATAGAATCTGTGTATTTGATGCCTATATAATCCTACAGGATAAAAATATTATTGATGTTGTAGATGCTTAATTTGATATATTATTAAATAAATAAGAAAACCCAAAGACAATGTATCAAATTCTATAACATGCATAATAAGGAAATCTATTGATTTTTCCTGCATTTTTTTTTTTTTATTTTTACAGTTAGTGTTAATTATTTACTCTTATAATACTTGTGTACGATGTGCGTGTATAAAAACAGATTGAACACAGAAATAAATAAATCACTCTATATATTAATGTAAAATGTCTCGATCATGTATGTCGATTTTTAGTGCTTCGTAATCTTATGTGTCGAACTTTGGCGCCAGTATTTCGTAATATTTGATAATTCTATGTGTCAAATGAAAATGCATTGGAGTAGTCCATGTGGATCTAGATCCTATCTATAAACTTTTAAAATTGTAAAAACTTGAATAACTTAAATTATAAATATATTTAAAAGTTAACCTTTTTGTTATCAGTTCTTTATATGTAATATATTAAATTAATTTTATTTTTATGAGTTTCGATTGGATATCCATATTTCATATATCAAATAATAAAATATTTTTTTTATTATAAAATAAAATTATTTATTAATATTAATAAAAAATTAATAAAGTTATTTATCAATTAAAAATTTTTCATTCCATATTAATAAAGAAAGTTATTATAACATAAGATAGAAAAATCATACAAATGAAAAATCTCTTTTTAAATACAAAAATAATGCAATTTCTTAAAAAATGTCTGAAATTTAAATAAAAAATTTCTCTTTTATATAAAATTTTATAAAAACTAATATAAATATTTTAGCCATCACCTCCCTGTAATCACTTAGTGTTCTAAATTGTAATATTCATGATGAAAAGATAATCCACATATTTTAATAATGTGTTTGCTTAAGCTTAAAATAAGAAAGGGCTTTTCTTTTTACTATAAGACTGTCTTTATCGGTGACCCATTGGGATCACCGGCAAAAAAAAAAAGAAAAAAAAAAATCAAGGAAAATGCGTGACCCAGGTCACATGTGACCTTGGGCCACAACTAGGCTTGTAAACAAATCGAATTTTTTTGATTCGATTCGAAATTCGAATTCGAATACGAATAATATTTTATATTTGAAAGTTAAACGAATTCGAATTTGAATTTGTAGATATTCGATCCAAAATTCGAATATCCGATTCGTTAACGATATTTATATAAATTTTATAAATTGTATATAGTACACATTTTGTTTATAATATATGTATATATATATATATATATATATATTGTTATATTCCTAATATTTTTATGACATAAAAAGTAAAAACATCTTAAATTAACAATTATCCCTAAAAACATGATAGACCGTAAAAATTATTTTTGTAATTATAATATATTTTTAATTATAATATTTTTCTAACAACGAATTTAGAATCGAAACGAATATGTTCGAATATTCTAAACGAATCGAATACTAATCAAAATATGAGTTTGTTTACGAATTCGAATCCTCGAACATTTTAACGAATTCGAATTGAATATCTTAGTATTCACTTTGATTTGATTCGTTTACAACCCTAGTCACAACCAGTTTGAGTGAAGGATATGGGACACTTGTCCAAATTTGATTGGACAAGTGTATTTTTTAAATAAAATAACAAATAATTTGTATTTTTAGGGGTTAATTTATATTAAAAATAAAAAATAACAAATGCCAAAATTCATATTTTTCATTCTCTATAAATAGAGACCACATTTGATATGTTTTAGAATACAATTGCAATTAATAATGGTAATTGATTTATGACTTTATTCGAAATGTTTGTACCTTGTTTAACTAATTTTAATAATTTGTTCCAATCTTTGTAATTTCAAATTTTAATTAAGTTCGTAATTTTTTTTTATTACATGGTAAAATCTATTTTTTTTAAATAATTACGGCTTTAGTTATATTTTTTTAATTAATTCGTCACACATAAAATAATAACACAAATCAATTGTAGATAATACTTAAGAAATAAATAAATAAAAATAAAATAAATATTTTGAATTGGGTTGAATTGGGGATAAAGATAAATTGGGTTGTAAAGTCTTGCATAGGTAGAAGAGAAAAAAATATTTAATTGTCAGATTAAGTTGGGTTGGATTGTAGATAAGGATAGCCTAACTATATTTAAACATTAGTCTACGAAAATTCATTCACACTATTTAAACGTATGTCTACAAAAAAACAATACAGTTTTTGTTTTATTCCAATATCTTAAATATATAGATATATTTGAATACAAACTATCACTATAATCATTTACGAAAACTAATATGATTCTTTTTCCCGGCCATATATATTTAGTTATATACATATTAAACACATTTAACATTAACGTCGAATCTATTTTCTCACAATTAATAATTTATGATCTTTGAGGGATTGTGCACACAAACCGAGCTATTAATGAGAGAGAGGGGTAATGGGACACTCCAACGAGATTTTTAAGTTAATTGCTTCTGTTTTTATTTGATATTCCAACACTATTATGTACTCTAGTTTACTCCCAATATACGTTTTAAATGGCATAATCGTTGTAACAAAAAAATAAAATAAAAATGGCATAATCGAAATATGAGGTATTTTTAGTTTCACAAAGCAAATGAAATGATGATCATGAAAATTTAATTTTCAATCATTGTAAAAATGAAAATCAGAGACTAAAATTGTGTGACAGAGAGTGTATAAATGAAAGTATGGAAATATAAATATATAATAGTAGTAAAGTCTTATCCCAGTGTGAGTAATTACGCTGTCTGCTAAAACGTTCATGTGATATCTCAACTTGAAATACTTATTATGATACACAAGTTTTGCTTGGATAACATTGTTATTGTGTAATAGAACCCACTTGGTCTGTATTATAGAGAAAGGCCAAAAACATTTCAAACCAACGTGCGCTATCTGAAAATAACCTCTGTCCATCTACCTTTCACACTCACATCTCACATGCAAACATCATGTTTATCAGAACAATGTAATTTTAGTCCATTTCAACTTTTCTATTTCCAATCATTAAGTTTTGAAGGTGCAATTAATGCATTGAATTTAAATCGATTTGATACAATGCACAAGCAAAGGGTTCGTGGACCCTTAAGTGGATGTATTTTATCATTATTTATTGGGGAAAAATAGTACTACAATCGTTTACTGATTAATCAGGATGAGATGGAATACCGGCCTTAACCAACCTTATCTTGCGTTTACTGTACATGATTGGGACTAGGATTTAGCCCATGTGGCATGTATGTGATAGGTGGGTCCCACGCAGAGATGCATATGTGGCGGGATAATTCGATCCCATCAAATAGGTGAGATATTTTTATCCCACTAATGAAATGATCATTTTGTCTGCAAAAAATAATATTATTTAATTTAAAAAATATTATTTTCTAAATAATTTTATTTATTTTAAAATATATTAATTTAATTTAAAATTATTTAATTTAAATAATTTTATTTATTATAAAAATATTAATTTAAATTTAAAATAATATTATTTAATTTAAAAATATTAATCTAAATAACTTTATTTAATTTAAAAAGTATTAAGCTTTAAAATATATTTATAATTTAAGGGTCGAAAATAGGGAGAATGATTTGATGTTTTGTGTGTAGGAGATGAAGGTATATTTGTTTTGTGTTATTTCTCGTATCATTTTGTCCAGGTTAGTAAATACTAGATTGTTTTTGCCTTAAAATGTATCATTGAATAAATGTTGACGTATAAAGTGGGTGAGATAAATCTGTCCAATCCCATCTCATAAAGTAAAAGAGACCCAAATGTATCAAAAATAGTCATATTGAAATACAATCGATCAATAGTACACATTACATGTCATGGTAAGTGGCACATCACTTCCATGTGGCTTTAGTCCGCTAACTTCACAAAATTTTAAAATTGGTCCTATAACTTGGACATTGTCCAAAAATCCACCCATTATTGACCACTTTCAAATTGTTAGTGTTATATACTAAAAGTTTGATTTTGCATGTTATTACATGTTTGCCCTTTATTAATGAGAATCTTGTTAATATAAACCAGTTCTATGTTCTGTTGTTTTGCACTTAGATAGAGTGGGTCGTCATTGGGCGAACCGAAGATCACTCTATCAGCTACTTGCGAAACAAGAATAGCGGTTCACAACCTAGATGGAAATGAACACCCAATCCGAACGGTTGTAGTACCAACTGTACGGTTTGTCTTGACTGATTAGTTGCACTAGTACATTTATGTATTGAACAGGATACCAGAGAGGAGAAGTTCGTTTTATACTGATCGTCGTAAACGAACTAGGCCTCAGTTAATTACTGCGTTCTCTTAACCCGTAAGATATTAAACAAATATATATAGATATATAGTCTATATTACTTTGATTCACTTGGATGAGGTCCAGTTCGCTGGATTAATATTCCTACTGTTTTGGGTAATATTACTATATATGAGATGTGTTGTTAGAATATTTACGGTTACAATGTGCGTTAGTTTGATGATGTCCCTGGAGTGAGTTCATGAAGGATTGTTATGGTAAACCCTGAAGGTGGATTAAGTTCTGACATAATAAGAATGTGATGAACGAGCGCTAGCTTCGGTGAAATAATAATAAATTACTTAATTCTTGATTATCAGTAATCAAATTAATTAATGAACATTATATC